GCCTCTGGTGGGCGGTATATCCCTGCTAAGCGCAGGTTTATGGGGGAGAAATTTCCAAGAGGAAAAGTGGGTTCAACAAGACAGAAATGCATGAGTGGATCTTTCTGAGGTCAGGGTAGGGAGGCAGGTGACTTAGTTTGGCTGTCAGGAGTTGGTGCTGCCGATTCTCAACTCCTCTTAATTAGGAACTGAGTGGAAAGAAGACTGAACAGCCAGAGGTTTTTGGAAAACCTACAGTGTATCCGAGTTCAGCCGCTGCTTGCCTCACCCACACCCCCGTACTGGAGAGCAGGCTGGGTAGCAGCTCCTCCACTTCCAATCCAGCTTCCTGCTAACGCATCCCGGGAGGCAGCAGGTGATGGCCCTGCTGCATGTGTGGGAGACACAGATGGAGATCTTGGTCCCGGTTTTGGCCTGGTCCAGCCCTGGCTGTTGTGGGCATTTGGGGAGTGAATTGACAAGTGGAAGCTCTCTCTCTCTCTCTCTCTCTCTCTCTCTGTGTGTGTGTCTCTGTATCTCTGTGTCACTCTTTCAAGTAAATGAAGATAAATAAAATATATAATAAATACATTTAAAAATAAAATACATTTAAAAAGAAAGAAAGCTTATAGTGAGAGAGCACAAAATCCAGGCCAGGAGCTAACTTGGAGCTGAGAGCAGTCATCTTGACTGTTCAGGCCTTACTGGCAAAGCAAATGTTTTAGGATGAAATCTATGGGGACGGTTGGAGTCTGTGGTCCATCCCAGCTGTGTTGCGGAAGCATCAGGGAAACTCCAGAGAGAAGATGGACAATCACGGGCCAACTGCCACGCAGGCTGCCTGGGGCGTGCTCCACTCTGCTGCAGCACCCACAGCCCAGCGTCTCCTGCAGGGGTGACCGGGGATGGGGTCGGGGAAGGCCTGGGACCTACCTATGCAGCGATGAGGACAGCGATAGCTCTCCTTCCGATTTTCTCTTTGGAATCGACATGGGAAGGCCAGCCATGAATTGGTCACAGGGACAAAAGTTAGGCACAGAGAGAAGCAGGATGAAGAAGGCTTGTGAGCCCTGCTGGCCGCAGAGCAGGCGAGCAGGAGCCAGTACACTCCAGCCACAGCTCTATGGTGCAGATCAGAAAACTGATGTCTGGAGATTAACTCGCCCCGAGTCCCACAGATGTAGTGACCCAGCTACACTCGTCAACCTGGCTATCTAATTCCAGAGCTCACAGTGAAAACACTCCGGAAGCTCCTCTAGTTACAGAAGGGTGTGAGTCCAAGATGGGATTGGAGGTCACGACCCCTACGGCCCCAGGGACACCTCCCACATGACTGCCAAGGCCGAGTAGAGGCACCCCACACCCCCTTGTTGGAGTGGGGTTCTAGCGTCCCATTTCACAGGCACAGACAAGGAGGCGGGCGGAAGTGCTCCTCACCTTGCAGGCTACCGTGTGGACAGAAACAAAACCAAAGGCTGCCTGTCTCTCTGTGCTCGGCATTTTGGCTCCGCGTGGCCGAGGAGCCTGATGGAGGCCTCACTTGCACTGGTCCTGCTGTCCTCAGCTTGTCTGACCCCCAGGCTCATTAGGGAGCTGATGGAGATGCCGTGGCTGGCGTCAAGTGTAGTCTGTGCGCACTCACCTGGGTGGACGGGAGAGAGCTCTGTTGCCTGCCGCCACTCATTCTTTGCCAATATTTGTGTGTGTGTGTGTGTGTGTGTGTGTGTGTGTGTGTGTTTTAAAGACAGTATCCTGTCTTGACAGATCATCTGCCCTGGCTTACGATTCGCCTCTCTGCCATCCACCCAGACCCTCTGGCTTGTGCTCCATAAATCACTTGCCTTTTCTTCTGTGAGTCTCTGTCATCTCCACGTTGCTGGGCTGAGGTCGTTAGAGGTTGTGGCTGCCAGTATTATTTATCTTCCAGCTCTGTTTTCACTTCTGCCTTCCTGGGACTCTCCCCTCTCAGGCGAGTCTCCTTTCAATTATTTCCATAGGTCATCCCCTCAGTGACAATGAGCCATGTCATTAATTTTGCTCGAGCTGGTGTGACATACTTTGGTGCCCTCATCTTTCCATCTCTGGCCCGAGGGTGTCTGAAGTCACTGGGCCTCTTTCTGCCCACTCCCAGGGCATAGGAGTAAGATGGCACAGCGATGTGGTTGTGGTGGATCCCAGGCTGGGCTGCACGGGAGCTGTGCCCATCTGTGGAACTCACGGGTTCCAGCCTGTGATGGGTTTCCAGTCTCCCCTGAATTCTCCCCGGATTCCTCCCCTCTCTGGAGCTGGGTGTCTCACAGGCGATTGCTGAATGTTGGTGGAGTAAATATATGCAAGAATCCATGAATGAAAGTTTTTAGCCCTTAAGGAAATCAATGCAGCAAAGTAACCATTAAGCTCAACCCTCTTACCTGGCTTGACAGAGCCTGCCTGGTCTGTGTCCTGTGGGTGGTTTGCTTGTCTCCCTCTCCTGACCCCTTGGCTCTTTACACCGTGGTAATATCAGATGACACGTAGCTGTCTAGCTCTGGGGTACAGTTTCAGATGTCTGGGCTTTGGGGCAAGTTTTACAAATGTCTGCTCAGACGCTACTCTTCCAATGCCCCATTTGGGAATCCGTTTGGTGAGACCCTGTCTCCGAAATCATCCTGGTGTCAGCCTTTGCCACTCTGGTCCTCTTCTGTGATTGGTGCCTTGGGATCCTGTATCTTAGCGATCTCCAGGCATATTTCTTATAGTGTGTACTTGGGGAAACGCCGTCCAAAGAGATGTTTCCCCCAATGTGTTCTGTCAAGAAAATAAGTCAAGAGCATGCCGCTAGCTGGAAACTTCTCACAGAGATTCATTGTGGCCACTGTCATTTTAAAGTCTCCAGAGAGGCCAAGAGTGAAGAAGGCTTTTCACTTTTTTTTAAAAGACTTATTTATTTGAGCCGGCGCCGTGGCTCAATAGGCTAATCCTCCACCTTGCGGCGCCGGCACACCGGGTTCTAGTCCCGGTTGGGGCGCCGGATTCTGTCCCGGTTGCCCCTCTTCCAGGCCAGCTCTCTGCTATGGCCAGGGAGTGCAGTGGAGGATGGCCCAGGTGCTTGGGCCCTGCACCCCATGGGAGACCAGGAAAAGCACCTGGCTCCTGGCTCCTGCCAGGATCAGCGCGGTGCGCCGGCTGCAGCGGCGGCCATTGGAGGGTGAACCAACGGCAAAAGGAAGACCTTTCTCTCTCTGTCTCTCTCTCTCACTGTCCACTCTGCCTGTCAAGAAAAAGAAAAGAAAAAAGACTTATTTATTTTATTTTAAAGGCAGAGTCACAGAGAGAAAGACAGAGAAAGAGAGGTCTTCCATCTGCTGGTTCACTTCCAAAACAGCTGCAATGGCCAGAGCTAGGCCGAACCAAAGCCAGGAGCCAGGATCTTCTTATGGGTCTCCCACGTGGGTGCAGGGATGCAAGCACTTGGGCCATCTTCCACTGTTTTCCCGGGCCATAGCAGAGAGCTGGATTGGAAGTGGAGCAGCTAGGACTTGAACCGGTGTCCACAGTGCTGGCCCCAAGGCTATTCACAGTTAACTCAATGTTCCCCAGTGTTTCAATGAAGCCCTCCCTCTCATTAGCAGTTACCAGCAGCTCTTCCCCCGAGGTGGGAGTTCAGAGAGGGCAGGAACTGGGATAGAAATCAGCCTTTTTGACCATACTGGCACTGGTTAATTTGCAATAGGTGAGAGTGGTGGGCAGCTTTCTGACTTGGTTTCTCTGGGTTCCACTCCCGGCTTCAGCTCCTGGTTTCAGGTTCCTGCTAGTGCAGACCCACCGAGACAGCGCTGATGGTGCAAGCAGTTGGGTTCCTCCTCTCACGTGGGAGACCTGGATTGAGTTTCTACATCTGTGCTTGGGCTCCCCAGCTGCTGTGGCATTTGAGTGAAGTAGTGTGTGGGAGCTGTCTTGTCTCTCTGTTGATCTCTTTTTAAAATAAAAAATAAATAAAATTTAGCTGCTAGGGTGGGCTCAATTGTGCAGTGGGTTAAACACTGCTTGGGACACCCACAGAGTTGGTTTGAGTCCTGGCTCCTTAGCTTCCTGTTCAGCTTTCTGCTAATGTGCCTGGGAAGGCAGAGAATGATGGCCCAAGTACTTAGATCCCTGCTACCCATGTCGGAGACATGGACAGAGTTCCAGGCTCCTGGCTTTTGCCTAGCCCAGTCCCAGCTGTTTTGGGCATTTGGGAAATGAACTAGCAGATGGAAGTGAAATTGGACAAGACCCCCTAAAATTTACACTGAAATATGGCCCCTTAAAGTTCCCTAGAAATGCTATCTGCGGTGCCACATGCGCTACCAGAATTTGGGGTGCCTTACGATTTCACCACGGACTTATTACTAAATCCCTGATATTAATAAGCCCAAGAGGGTTCTTGCCTAATATTTAGAGAAGAATTCTAAATACCGGCACAGATAAACGAGGCAGCATGGTGCATTTTAAGCTTTTATTTAGTGCAAGACGTATCTAGGAAAGGGAAGGCTTTAGTTCAGGTAGGAGAGAGGGGAAAGTCTGGAAACTGGAGTAGCGTCCACACCACTCAGAGAGCAGGCCACAGCCACGTGCAGCAAGCACCTGGAGCTGCTATCCGCCGCTTATCCACTGCTTATCACCGGCAAGAACCCTCTTGGATAGTATTTCTAGGGAACTTTAAAGGGCCACATTTCAGTGTAAATTTTAGTGGGTCTTGTCCAAATTCAGAAGATTCTCTCTCTCTCTCTCTCTCTGCCTTTCAAATCAATCTTAAAAAATAAAATAAAAATCCAGCTATTGTTTTTATTTACTATTCTTGTTGTCCATCATTTTTCTCTATCCTTGCCTTTATGAACTCCAGATCACTTAAATTGTCACATTGCTTATTGAGGCACTTTTTTTTTTTTTTTTTGACTGACAGAGTTAGTGAGAAAGAGAGAGAGAGAGAGAAAGAGAGAGAGAGAAAGGTCTTCCTTTTTTCCGTTGATTCACACCCCCCCCCCCCAAATGGCTGACACGGCCGGCGCACTGCGTTGATCCAAAGCCAGGAGCCAGGTGCTTCCTCCCGGTCTCCCATGCAGGTGCAGGGCCCAAGGACTTGGGCCATCCTCCACTGCCTTCCCGGACCACAGCAGAGAGTTGGACTGGAAGAGGAGCAACCGGGACAGAACCGGCACCCCAACCGGGACTAGAACCCTGTGTGCCGGCGCTGCAGGCAGAGGATTAGCCAAGTGAGCTGAGACACTTTTTAAAAAAGATTTTTTTATTTATTTGAGAGGCAGAGTTACAGAGAGAGGCATATACAGAGAGAGGTCCATCTGCTGCTTCACTCCCCAGATGGCCACAAAGTCCTGAGCTGGGCCAATGCAAAGCTAGGAGGCAGGAGCTTCTTTTGGGTCTCCCATGTGGCTGCAGGGGCCCAAGCACTTAAACCATCTTCAGCTGCTTTCCCAGGAGCATTAGCAGGGAGCTGGATCAGAAGTGAAGCAGCTGGGACTCAAACAGGCACCCAGATGGAATTCTGGTGCCACAGGCAGATGCTTAACCTACTATGCCACAGCATGGGCCCCGACAGTTGTATTTTTTTTTTTTAAAGAATCTTTTTACTTCTCTCTGGTCTTCAGTAGCTTTAGGCTGTGAATCATTTCTATCAGTTTGTCTTCTAGTTTATTTATTTTTTTTTTGTTTTGCATTGTTCAATTGGCTCTCAAGTCCCTTCAAGCTTTTATAATAAAATACTATTAACTGGGTATCATAAACAAGAAAAATTTATTATTCACAGCTCTGGGGCTGGAAGTTCAAGGACAAGGTACTGGCAAATTTAGTATCTGGTGAGGGCCTATTCTCTGGTTCCTGAGTGGCTATCTTTTCACTATGTCCACACACGGGGGAGAGGGAAGAAAGGCAGCTGGAGTGCCTTTTATTTATTTATTTAAGATTTATTTTATTTATTTTAAAGAGTTACAGAGAGAGGTCAAGCCAGAGAGAGAGGTCTCCCATTCTGTTGATTCACTCCCCAAATGATCGCAATGGCCAGAGCTGAGCTGATCCAAAGCTAGGAGTCTGGAGTTTCTTCCAGGCCTCCCATGTGGGTACAGGGGCCCAAGGACTTGGACCATCATCTACTGCTCTCCCAGGCCATAGCAGAGAGCTGGATCAGAAGTAGAGCATCCGGGACTCAAACCAGTGCCCATATGGGATGCCAGCACTGCAGAAGGCGGCTTTACCCGCTACACCACAGCACCAGCCCCAGTATATAATCTTTGTTTTTAAGGTGTGGTCCTTCTTAGGTTTTAATGGATAACTCAAGGTTGAACAAACACTTCCTGCTTGGTGGGATTTGAAAGTCAGACTCTGTCTCCTGGAGCTGGACTGTCCACTGTTGGAATCTGCTTGGTTTCTGGGAGCATTGCCATGCGGGTGTGGAAGTTAGGAGTCACCCTAAAACTGAGGGCAACCACCCACATCTATGCAGAGTCCACCTTTTGTGGCTCCCTCATTCTGAAGATTCTCCCCTCCCCTCAATTTTCAGCTGTTCTGGGAACTCCGAACTCCCACCTCTGACTCTACCCCACTAAGATCACCACTTTCTCCCTGAGTTCTGCTCCCTGTGCTCTTCCAACTTAGAAGGAACCTTGAGAAAACCAGGTAACAGGTAATAGAAATCTCCCTGGGTTTGCTTCCTTCTGATGAAGAGTGACACCTCCTCCAGATTATCCTGATTTCCATCGCTTGTTCTCTAGTGCCTCAAACAATTGTTTTAAATATTTTATTCAGCCTTTATACCTTGTATTGGCAGAGGGGTTAGTTGGAAGCTATGGTGCCATTACTTGAGCTGGAACTGACCTGTCTAAATATATTTTTTAAAACCTTCAGAGAGCAGGAGAAACTTCTTTAATTGAACCAAGAAGCTCTATAAATATTTTCTCTCCTTATTTAATTCAGCTAATTTTTTTAAAACTCTAGAATCTTTCAGGCTCTACCAAAGAAGCCACGTATTCCCTTTCCCTCCAAGCCAAGTTAAGATTTGGCCGCCACCTCTCAGAACTGGGAATTGATTTAATGATCTCTGATGTTCCTTCCAACCCTCAGAAGATACCAGTTTTCTGAATTAGGTATGTACTGTGAAGGTATTTTATTATATAATATTATAGTATACTGATAGCTTTGGTTATAGTGGATATGGATTTGTATGTGTGTATGTGTGTGTGTTGTGTCTGCCCAGAGTTCAGTTTTGCTTCTCTGAGTACCTAGAATTTTATCGTGGGGACATTTCTCTCCAACATGCTTGGATCACATAATTCAGGTGGGACTGCGCTCAGATCAGAGGTGGAACATGCGACTCTGGCTGGGCAGATCAGAGCTTCACATAGCAACAGTCGTAGATGATTGGCTGCCATGTGAGTCTAAACTAGGCAATCCGTGTAATTTTACGTCTTGGTCACAGTAATTGTTTCATTATACCATGATGGAAATGCTGGTAGAAAAAGCGTGTGAATCAGGAAATGTCAAAAGGATCAACTGAAAAGTAGACGTGCTTGTCTATCAGACCTGAAATTGTAAGGAGGTAGACTTGCTGGTGCCATCTTGATCTCACAACGGACTGAAAGTTACATATACAGAAGAGAGTGGAGTCAAGATTTGGAGAACTATTCCTTGCAAATCATCTGAGGGCTTGGATCCCGGAAGCTCTATGCCTGTATATAAATTCTCTTTTTTCCTCACAAGCCAACTTAAATTGGGTTCTCTTTCCCTTAGAACAGAAATAATCTTGACTGGAACATCAGTCAAGACCTCAATGGGGTGTGCCAATTATGGCGCCCAAAGATGAAAAAGGTAGGCTCGGCCACCTCAGATTGTTTTTGGTTGAACACGCTGAAACGAGCCGCGTCAATCACCAGGTTCACAGCTGACAGCGTTTCTCTGGCACCCCGCAATCACTCTGCTCCAATTTTCTGGAATAAGTGGAGGCAGGCACTAGATCAACAGCACTGATGATATGTTTGTGTGCTATACATTCTTAACCCATCCGGCAATCAAGCTGTATCTCTCTTCCCAAGAGGACGGAAATTCTGGGGGGATATTAATATTCCGTGTGTTCCCTCTCTGCATCGGCTTCGGTGATTATGCAGCCTCAGTGCCTGTCTCCTGGACGAGAGGTAACCTTTGAGCAATTTGTGGGAGCAGTTACACAATCTAATTTCTGACTGTTCAGGATAAGTGAACTTTAAAGGTGCTTATAATATCAGAAAATTCCACGTGTTGGGTAGAAAACAGTCCTGTTTTTCTTTTCAACTTCCAGCCAAAATTAATCAACAGCATTTTCCAGACATTTTAAAAATAAAGTCCTTGACAGCGCAACAATTTGATTTGCTAAACCTGTTTTTCCTCCTCTAATTGTTATACTGATAAAGACCTTTGGCACAAATTTCAAACAGAAAAGGTAATTTCAAAGCAGGCTTGTTTTTCCTTTTTTTTTTTTTTTCTGTGTGTGATACAGTAGGTTTTCTCCAGGACACCTACAAAAATCAGAAAGTCTTAGGGATATAAAGATTTTTGACAAGCAGAGAATTGTCACTCTGGACCAGATTAAACCTGCTTTCCTTTCATAATGCCTCATTTCTGCACAGCAGCTAGTCCTGCTTGGCCGTTATCCCCAATCTTAGCTTATTTTGGACCAGATTGGTGTGTCAGTCACTTGTCATTCTTTGTCCCTTGGAGCTACCTCAGTGACCCACGTGTCTCCTTCCTGCTGAACCTGGCCATACATCTGCTCTGACTTCTTCGGTTAGCGTCACAGATCTAGTATTTTGTTGCATTTTTCCCAGGTACATTTACAAGAATCCTTTATTTCTGTCTACTGCAAGGTATTAGCTTAGTCATCATCGAAGAAGGGAAAGGAGTGAATCACAGATTTCGTCTCTCAGTGGGCGAAGGGCACCTCGTTTCCCGAGACCAGGTGCGGGGCACCGGGGTGGAGCTGTGATAATCAGCCTATGGAGAGGTAGACAGTTTTCTGGTTTTGCTAAAATGGAAAGATCCTTAGGGTAGAGACTGTGGTTGGCGTTCAGTATTCACTAATATCTGGTTTTGCTTTCTTGCATTAGCACACGGGGGTCTAGGTTTTCCAGCCAGGACCATGTGACTGGTCTTGGCCAATAGGATGTGAGAGGAGGTAATTTGTGCCCTGTCTGGATGGTCAGAACTGCATGATTCACCAGTCTACCTTCCTCTGTCCAGGAGCCTGGAGGAGACTTCATGAGGAGGCGCGGAGACACAGCCTTGAAGGAGCCTGGATCGCTAAGTCGCAGCAGGAGGAGAGGCTTCTTGGAGAGTTACCCAGGCCCGCAGGCTACTGCCATCAAAAAATAAACAGTGGTGGTAAGCTACTAAGACTGAGGGGCTGTTTCCTACTACAGAATAGCTTACCTTGCAAAACAATGCAGACATTGTGGACTTAAAAAGTTGAGATATAATTTATAAACAGGGAAATGCTCAGATCTTCACTGTGCGGTTTGTGCGGTCTTGATAAACGCATGTACTTGTGTAGCTCATGCTCATTTAGAGACAAACAACAAGGCTGTTCCCTGAGGAAGCCCTCTGTGCCCTTCCCCAGGCCCTTCCTTCCAGAAATACCCTCATCGCATTCCTTTTACCGAAGACTGTTTTGCCAGTTGTATGTGTTTGCATAAATGGAATCACACAGTAGGTACTTCTTGTGTCTAGCTTCTTTCATTCTACATAGTATTTTTTTTTTTTTTTGACAGGCAGAGTGGACAGTGAGAGAGAGGGAGACAGAGAAAAAGGTCTTCCTTTGCCGTTGGTTCACCCTCCAATGGCCGTCGCGGCCAGCGCGCTGCGGCCGGCGCACCGCGCTGATCAGATGGCAGGAGCCAGGTACTTCTCCTGGTCTCCCATGGGGTGCAGGGCCCAAGGACTTGGGCCATCCTCCACTGCACTCCCTGGCCACAGCAGAGAGCTGGCCTGGAAGAGGGGCAACGGGGACAGAATCTGGCGCCCCGACCGGGACTAGAATCCAGTGTGCCGGCGCCACAAGGTGGAGGATTAGCCTAGTGAGCCGCGGCGCTGGCCTCTACATAGTATTTTAAAGATTTATCCATGTTGATAGCATGTATTAGCAATTTCCTTTTCTTCCTATTGAGAAGTAGTCCATTATATCTTTTTAAAAAAGATTTATTTATTTTAAAGGCAGTTACAGAGAGGCAGAGGTAGAGAGAGAGAGAGGTCTTTTTTTTTTATTTTATTTTATTATTGACAGGCAGAGTGGACAGTGAGAGAGAGACAGAGAGAAAGGTCTTCCTTTTCTGTTGGTTCACAATGGCCGCTGCGGCTGGTGCACCACACTAATCCGAAGCCAGGAGCCAGGTGCTTCTCCTGGTCTCCATAAGGGTGCAGGGCCCAAAGACTTGGGCCATCCTCCACTGCACTCCCTGGCCACAGCAGAGAGCTGGCCTGGAAGAGGAGCAACCGGGACAGAATCCGGCGCCCCAACCAGGACTAGATCCCAGGGTGCCAGTGCCGCAGGCGGAGGATTAGCCTATTGAGGCGTGGCGCTGGCCTGAGAGAGAGGTCTTCTATCTGCTGGTTCACTCTCCAGTTGGCTGCAAGAGCCGGAGCTGCACTGACATGAAGCCAGGAGCCAGGAGCTTCCTCCAGGTCTCCCATGAGGGTGTAGGGGCCCAAGGACTTGGGCCATCTTCTACTGCTTTCCCAGGCCATAGCAGAGAGCTGGATTGGAAGTGGAGCAGCCAGAATTTGAACCGGTAGCCATATCAGATGCTGACACTGCAGACAACAGCTTTACCCGCTATGCCACAGTGCCGCCCCTATTATATCATTTTTTAAAAATATTTATTTTACTTATTTGAAAGAGTCACAGAGGAGGAGAGTTAGAGAGATCTTCCATTTGCTGGGTCACTCCCTGAATGGGTGCAAGGGCCAAGGCTGGGCCAGGCCAAAACCATAAACCCAGAACTCCATCTGGGGATCAGGGGCCCAAGCGCTTGAGTCATCTTCTGCTGCCTCCCAAGCACCTTAACAGGGAACTGGGTCAGAACTCATTTGGGATGCTGGCATTGCAGACTTCAGCTTGATCCATTGTACCACAATGCTAGCTTCTCAATAATTTACCACAGTTGTCCGTACTCTTTTTGATGGATATATAGCTGTTTCTAGTTTGGGGTTATTATCAATGGTGTTTCTAGGAACACCTGTTTATAAGGATTTTTGTGGACTTTTTTTTTTTTTTCATTTCTCTTGGATAAGTACCTCATTGTAGAATTTCTGGATCTTAAAATGCTTAATTTTGGGGCCGGTGCTGTGGTGTATTAGGCTAAAGCCCTGCCTGTGGCGCCAGTAACCCATATAAGTGCTGGTTTGTGTCTCTGCAGCTCCTCTTCCAGTTCAGCTCTCTGCGATGGCCTGGGAAAGCAGTAGAAGATGGCCCAAGTCCTTGGGCCCTTGCACTCATGTGGGAGACCCGGAAGAAGCCCCTGGCTCATGGCTTTGGATCGGCGCAGCTCTGATTGTTGCGGCCATTGGGGAAATGTACCAACAGATGGAAGACCTTTCTCTCTGTCCTTGTCTGTAACTCTGCCTCTCAAATAAATACATAAAATCTTTTCAAAAGTGCTTAATTTTCTTTAAAATTTAAGAAACTCTCAAACGGTTTTAAAAAAATATCTGTATCACTTACAATTCCACTATCAACATATGAAGGTTCTGGTTGCTCCATACCCTCTTTGCCACTGGGAGATGTCAATCTTTCCTGCATTTATCACCACTTTAGTGGGTGCATAGTGCTGTCTCATTGTAGTTTTGATTTTTGCTTCCTCGATGACCTATAATGCTGAGATTTTTTTTATTTGCCCGTTGGACATTTGTATATCCTCATTTAAGACACGTGTGTCCATACTTTTTGCTGTTTTAAAAAGCTGGGTAATTTGTTCTTTATAATTGAGTTGTAGAAAATACTTCCATAGTCAGATACTATGTGATTGTTTTTCCAAGGCTGTAGTTTGGCTGATTATTTTCTTAACAATCGTTTTTTATAACAATATGGCTTTTATTTTGATGAGATCTGATAGGTAAGTTTTTTCGTTTATATAAAGTTAGTGCATTTTGTGTCTTTACCAAGGTCATTTTCTCCTAGAAGCATTATGTTTTTGTCTTCAAACTGAGATTTATTTTGAATTAGATTTATTCAACCTGAGATTTACTTGAATTTATTTTGAATTTTTGTATAGTGTGAGGTAGCATTCATGGGTTGTTTTATTTTTCTATATGCTATCTAGTTGTAACAATTTTTTGAAAAAAATTTTCCTTTTCCCACTGAATTACTTTGGTAGCCTAGTCAACAATCTGTTGATTTTGTGTATGTGTATGGGTCTATTTTTGGACTGTTTATGTTCCAATGATATATTTGTTTGTTATTTTAAAAAAGATTTATTTATTTGAAAGGTAAAGTGAAAGAGAGAAAGAGAGAGGAAGATCTTCATCCACTGATTCACTCCCAACATAGCTGCAACGGCCAGGGCTGGTCCTGTAGGAAGCCAGCAGACCAGAACTCCATCTGGGTCTCCCATGTGGGTGGAAGGGCCCAAGCACTTGGACCAACCTTTGCTGCTCTCACAGGTGCATTAACAGGGAGCTGGATGGGGAGCAGGGCCAGGACTTGAACTGGCACTCCTGTGTGGGATGCTTGCTGTCACAGCATCTTAACCCTCTCTGCCACAGTGCCAGCCACTCTATCCATTCTTTAACAGAAGGCACATTTTCTTCATTACTATGCCTTTATTTATTTATTTATTTATTTATTTTGACAGGCAGAGTGGACAGTGAGAGAGAGAGAGAGACAGAGAGAAAGGTCTTCCTTTGCTGTTGGTTCACCCTCCAATGGCCACCGCAGCTGGCGTGCTGCAGCCGGCGCATCACGCTGATCCGAAGCCAGGAGCCAGGTGCTTCTCCTGGTCTCCCATGGGGTGCAGGGCCCAAGCACTTGGGCCATCCTCCACTACACTCCCAGGCCATAGCAGAGAGCTGGCCTGGAAGAGGGGCAACTGGGACAGAATCCGGTGCCCCGACTAGAACTTGGTATGCCGGCGCCACAGGTGGAGGATTAGCCTATTGAGCCGTGGTGCCGGCCCATTACTATGCCTTTATAATAAGTCTTGAGGTTAGATTGAACAGATCCCCAAGCTTTTATTCAAGGGTGTTTTGTTAATCTTGGTCCTTTGCATTTTCAAATAAAATTTGTCGTCAGTTTTCTTTTTTCAACTTTCAGGAGGCTGCCTGGAGCCCCTCTTGGAGTGCTTCAGGCCTGTATATTACTTTGAGGAGAATCGCACCTTAACGACATTAAGTCTTCCAATCCAGGCTGACAGTATGGTCTTTCCAATCGCTTAAGGTTTCTTTAATTTCTTTTAGCAACGTTTTTGCAGCTTTCAGTATATAAGTCTTGCACATGTTTGTGGACTTCACTCCTAAGTATGGTGTATTTTCAATACAATTTTAAAATAGACTGTTTCACTGGAATGATTTTTTCACGTTAATATTTCTTTCAGAATTCCATGCTCTTAGGCTTTTACACGTGATGCTTTTCCTTGGCTTCTGTCACTTTGCTATGCTGTTATCCCACAGCCACCTACCCCCCCTTTCTCTCCTAGTATTCAATGAAATCTTGTTTTTGCATCAACACTTTCCTACGCTGATGAAACACTTCTAATTACTGTGCTCTTGTAGCTCCTCCCCACCTCTCCTCCATTCATGCGTCCTCTGTTTAAGCATTCATGAATCAGACCAGTGAATCAGACATGACTCCTGTCCTCAAGAAACTTAAGTTGTAGGAGAGGAGATAAATAAATAACTAGCAGAAAACACACAGTGGCAACTGATAGTTATAAACAGAATGTAACGGACCTTTGCCTGGAGGCAGAAGGTGAGATCCAGGAAAATTTCCTGGAGGACTTCTGAGCTGTGATGAGCTTTATTGTCCTATTGTGCTACAAGGCTCTCAGGCATTACCTGAATTCGTGCTTCGTGATGGCAGGGAGCATGGCCTCCTAGTGGGTTTGTTGTTCAATACGGCAGGTACGATTCGAACTTTAGTGTACCTGAGAATCACGTGGGATGCTCATATTCCAGGCTTGGCCTGGGAATTTTGATTAAGCAGGTCTGTGGAAGGGCCTTCGGTGATTCCATTGCAGATGGTCAGCTGAAAAGCACCCCTCTGGTGACTGGCATATATTTGAGCACACAATTGGTATTGAGAGAATAGTAGCTTGGTTAACAACTAGATCTAAATAGCATCATAGCTATCTGCAAAGGGGACAAGAGCCTTAGGAAAAACCTTGTGATATCTTCAGCGCGCAGGATGCTGCTTCCTGTGGCGAACGTTTCTGATGAAGCCTCTGTTTTCTTTTTCTTTCTTTTTTTCTTTCTGCTTAGAAGTTTCTTACTGCCATTTGGTGTGAAATGGCCTTACAAATTCTGCTCTCTGCTTTTGCAAAGACCTCATCTCTCTTGGGTTCTTCCCATCCTGGTCCTCTCCCTGCTGGAATATTCCTTTCGGTTTCCACTGTCCTTGTTTCTCCCAGAATGAGGCTATCTACCTCAGCTATATTCCTGCAATGTTCACTCAAGAGGAAAAAATCCATTTTCATAGCAGAAGAAAATCCCCTACTTGCTGTATTCTCGACTATTCCAGCTGTTCCCTTGATTGGGAACGCACACCTCAGACTTCTGGGTGACATACGGTCCGTGTAGATCGGTTGTTATGACAACTATATTTTGTTTCATACAAGGCTTTCTCCGGCAACTCTTTACAAGGCCTAATTCTGCATTGTGCTCTGCACGCTAATGTATAGTATATAGCAGACTGTAGTTCTCCAAGACACCTTAGATCAAGGGTCTTGAATTTCAATGATAATAGCTTCTTCAGAGCCAAGCGAATTGCAGTTCAACTATATAGCTACTGTTTAATCTCCCAAATGAGACAGAGAGAGGCCAGGTAGGACATTTTTCATAAGCAAAAAGGTTTTAAACCTTGAATGTAGACTTTAAAAACTTGCATATATTTCAGGTAACTGGTACTTGGCTGCTTTATAATGAAAGGTCTCCTCAATAAATATTCCAGTGCAGCTCAAACTAATCTTAGGGAAGCTGGGGGGAGCGCCACTCGACCGTGAAGAGTTCGTTTTGGCAAAAGGATGGGTCCGAGGGGCTCCCCCGCATAACTGAGTTACTTATTTGTGTTTAGCTCCTATAATAGGCTTGGGAATCAGTGCTCTAGCAGATTTTTTTTTTCTAGGATACACCAGGGAATGAACTGTGGCTATGTAAACAAACTGAGAAATAATGTGCCGTCGCTCTGGCCGCGGGACCTGTCGTGTTCACACACCTTCCTGACAGGCTCTTCCCTGTTCGTGGCTCCTCGCTCCAACACTGACCCATAATTCTGAGCCATGGCTGGAGGCCGCTTGATAAAGACAAGCCTAGGAGGTTCACTGAACATGTCCATCAGCAAGAATTGTTGACACATGGGTGACTTAAATCAGGTCCCAAATGTTATCTCTGCTGGCCAGAGGCTGTTGACCATGGAGCTCTAGTTTCTCCTCTCCCCAGCTGTCATGGGTTGTTGTTGGTGTGTGTGTGTGTGTGTGTGTGTCTGTATGCACACAGAGGGACGGGGGAAGATGGTCCCTCCAGGCACTGACAGTCTGTGCCTGGTTTGAGTTAAGCTCAGTGGGCTGGGGAGTGGCGAAGCTGACAGTGGCAGGGCTGCTGCCTTTAGCTCTGCATTGGGCCAACCACCGCGATTCCAGCAGTAAACCCAGAGGTGCGGCCAATCCGTCACTCCTGACAACCTCACCCTCACACCAATACCTAACTTCACTTCCTGCCTTCTTTAGGCTCCTTCTCCAGATGACAATGATGATTTTGAGCGCTAGCTCAGGAACCACCACCTCCAGGAAGACTTCCAGAATGTGTGGCACACTTTGTACCCTCCACTCCTGCCTCTTTTTGGATGGATCACTCTCTTTGGTGAGTACGTGTGTGGCTCTGTAAGCCCTTCTGGAGTGTCCACTGGAATGGTAGCACCTGATACTCAAAAACATGAACCTGGGAGCAGTCAGACTGAGGATTCATTGTCAGCTGTGCCAAAGTCCTGGCTAGGGGATTTGAGACGTTACTCTACTCTTCCCAAACTCAACTTTCTTATCAGTAAAATGGAAAGTATAATTCTTTATACTTCCCTTGGAGGCTTGCTCAAGGGTTTATACACAGTATTTGTAAAGTATCCAACTGAGGACCTACTTATAGTATGTGCTAATTCAATGTCATTGTGATATTTTTTGTTTATTAAGCAAAAATGTGTCCAGCTCTACGACAGCTGCAGAGAGGGTTTTTGCTTTGAAGAAGTGTACAGGCTACTGGGGAGCACAGGTAAACACAACACCAAAATTCTATGGACCGCAGTTCAGTGAAGTAACTGTGATAGTGGGGCTGCCTCATCCCACCATCAGCTTGGATATGCCCGTCCATACCACTGGGCCATACATTGCTGAAGAGAAGAGGCCATATATTCACCTGATTGGGTTTGCCCACGTCCCTGGAAATGGCAA